GGCCACGAATGGCCCTACGCTGCGCAGAAGAAGATGTCCCCAGGTGGCCCCAAGACAGCTCCGAGGGGAACGCCCAGAGGGGTCCCGAAAGGAAGAGACCGTCCCATTTCCGGAGTGGTAGCACTGGTTTCTAGCATATTCGCGCTCCGGTCTGAACAGCGTCCAAGACGGCCGAAGGCGGCCCCCCAAACCGCTCCAAGACGGCCCGAGAGGCCCCCAAGAGGGCCCCGAGACGGCGTCCGTAGCCATTTTGGCTCAAGCCATTTCGGATGGTGGCTGGTATAGATCGAAGGTGGAGCTGGCCGCATGAGGGACTTGAAATGGGCTTGCACCTTCTGCTTCATTGTGATCTCTTTTTGTGTACTGTTGTCAGCCTGTCTTGTTCGTGGAGATTTCATTTTATTGCGAGTCAGCAGTTTTGAATATATTGAGATTATTGTGGAACCGTCGGACAGTAGTGGTATGAGCATGACCAATGCTGACGCTGTGCCCGAGACCGTCTTGGCTAATGGGACGTCCGCTGAGATGAACTCTGAAAAATTGAGAGACAGAAGTCGATCAAGCATTGCACCGCCAGAAGTCAGTGTTGGTTCGTCAAACAGCGGTGGTACGAGCATAACCAATTCTACGGCTGCGCTTGAGACCGTCTTGGCTTATAGGACTTCCAATGCGGTGAATTCTGATAGGCAGAGAGAGAGAGAGAGAGATCGGGAAATATAAAGATCGACAAAGAGAGAGAGAGAGAGAGAGAGACAGAGCGAGAGAGAAATAAATCAATCAAGCATTGCGCCGCCAGAGGCACTGCAGTCTACGGTCCTTCCTCCGGAAACGCGGGGTGAGTTTCGTTTGCCCATTACATCTATACACGTGGGAAAGGCGGGTGGATCTTCTTTGGCATGCAAACTTTCCTTGACAGAACGCATGGAGAGATGCATGTGCCCAGATGAGCGTGACGCACGCGCGTTGGAATCGCAAGTGACACTGCGCGTAGAAGGATGGGTTCACACAAGTATTTGGAGATGGGCACGTGGCCCCCTCACAAATATACTTTATGTTGTGCGGAATCCAATGCACAGAGCAGCGTCTGCTTTCACATACCACCTGGCGGTGCACCGCCACCCTTGCTCTGGGCACATCGACGATCTGGTTCCACTTGACTTGGGCGGCTTGCCCAAGCTCCAGAGCACGGTGTTGCTCAAGCTGTGGGCGAACGCCACCGCGAAAAAAAAAAGGGTCGGAGGCAAGCGCGTCTGCACGCGAGTGCGAAGCTTTTGGAGTGAGGTGTCTCGCGGGACAGGCTGCACCTCGAGAGGCATATCGAGTGCCGAACTTGTGGAAGGCAGGCCTTTGCGGGTCGCATTTCCAGTTCAGTTACGAGTACTATGTACCAAAAGTTTTGGATCGTCTGGCAGAGGGCTCCGTGAAACGTATCTTCACGATCCGGAACGAGCACAAGTGGGATGATTATAGTAGGTTGGATTTGTTGTTGGGTGGCAGTGGCGGCCGACCAGCCGATATGCACATTCGAGATGCATCCATCTGGAAACAGGCGGGCAATAGAAGTTGAAGTCTCGACCGATTACCGACATTATGCAAGATACTGTGCAGAGAAATATATTATTACAAGTGGACGATCTTGTTGGCAGAGAATATCAGACAAAAAGACGTCGAAGCGTCATTTCGCAGTCTGGAGCTACAGTGCCCTACGGCCAGTCAAATTCCGCCCGCTATTCGCCACCGACGCACAAAGAATCCGCATATTCTTTCAAAGGTTGGCCAGGTCGGAGATTGCAACTATCCAGACATGTAAAGGCAGAAAGTGCAACCACTGGATCCCTTGCGTCAAGATGCAATGCTTGCGTTGGTTCTCAAGGTGTTGCTGGCAGGCGCTTGCGCATTGTAGATATGACGTGGTTTGTCTGTGGGTTTTCTTTCCAAGCAGATGAAACACCTCAAAGGAAATCACAGTTTTTTGCCTCTGCACGCCTTCCCGGAGACCCTCTTGGGATCCTCTCCCCCCTCGTCCCTCGCCCCCCTCCTCCCCTCCCCTTGCCCCCCGCCCCTCTCCGGGCAGCACAGCCTGCCCCGAGCCGGCGTTGCGAAGCAGCGCGTGGCTTTTTCCCGCAGGAGCTTACGGCATGCTGGTGGCGTGTCGGGGCCGCCTCGTTTGGAAGGGCGCTGTGGCGCGGGACGGCCGAGACGGAGGGATACGTGCACCGGCGATGGCATAGCAGAGCCCATCTCAGGGGCTGCTGTTGCACCCTTCAATATTCTTCGGCCTTCAATATTTTTCGGTTTGGCCGGCGGCAGGTCTCGGGCTTTCGAAGGACGTTCTTCGATCCTGAATAAAAGAGGGCCCCGAGACGGCGCTACAGGCGCCCAGGGCCGCCCACGAGCGCCGAACAGGGACCCCAAGAGGGGCCCGAGACGCCCTGCACGAGCCAAGAGGCTCCCCGAGGGGGCCCCATGTGCGGTCGGGCTGCTGCTGCTGCTGGAGCACTTCCAGCAGCAGCAGCAGCCCGACCGCACATGACGAGGCGGCCTGAGCGACGGGGGGTCCGCCCGCTGTGGGCGGCTCGAGCCGAAAGGACTCGGACTGGTGTCCTCCTTCCTCCTGCGTGTTCTCTTTCTGGTGCGGAGCGTGAATTACCTACCCCGCTTTCGCTTCCAGGCAAAACCAAGTCATACCACGCGCCCCCTCGTCAAGCGGCCTGACCAGTACAGGCCGCAGTTTGGCATCGCTTGGTATCTCTTGGAAGCGAGGGTGGTCAAAAGCGAGGTAGGTTTGTTTTCCCCCTACTGGGGTCTTCCCAGGATGATCCCAGGAGGGTTCACATGCTCCTGAGACATCTCGCCTGGCCATTCGTCTGACATTATGGGGGAAGAAGCAATGACAGAAACATACAAACTCTGAGGTTATATGTTTCTGCCATTGTTCGGAAACTGGAACCTATACATTACCAGCGGCGGGCTGTTTTTCAATCCCAGGAATTTTTGAGGGTCGGGGACGACGTCGGGGTGGTGTGGTGTATATTTGTTTCCCCGCTTTCACGTGGAAGCGACAAAAAGGAATACACCAGGATGCCGTACACACTAGAATCCGTTCTCTTGTGCGAATCTAAATGCGGTACCGTTTTTTTTTTTTAAGCATCGGTGTATAAAGTGTGGTTCCTTAATTGTTCGTTCCCCAAATATGGCCCCAAGAAGCGACGGCCTTGCCGTCAGCTCCTGGTGTCTTCGCAGCTCTCGGGCGCCACGAACTCTGCAGCCAACCCTGCAGAACTTCGCGGCGCCCGCACGGGAAGCCCGTCAACCTACCGAAGCAGACATGCACGGCAGAGCGCTCGAGTGTTAAGTCGGGCATGTCCCTCTGCAGGAGGAATAGCGAAGAATAGTAAAACAAACAGTCTGGGGACGATGTTTGATCATGCTTGTGTCGTGCTTGAAAATGTGTTGAAATGTGTTCGATGTGTCTCCCGATATCCGCCTGTAGGGGGACATGCCCGGCCTTTCTCGAGTGACAGGGGCGGCTGCACCCCTTCGTTGCGTCACAGTGTTTTTTCTTGGGAAGGGCATAGGCCCAGGGCTCTCTTTTAGTAGGTTTCCCCCCTGCCATGACTTGAAGCAGGCATGCGAAGTTCGATCACAAACGGCGTGAAGTCCACTTCGGCGTGGAAAACATGCGCTTCGCGCGCCCCCGCTCCAGGAAAGTGTGCCCCCTTATTTCGGATCCTCGATCAACGACAAGGTCCGCAGGCACGCGTCTCCCCCCCCCCCCGTAGGAGACGGGGCGCGGAGAGTTCTGCGCAGAGCCCATTGTAAAACACGAGGTGTGGAGACCCCAGATATGGACGAGTTGCACTGTGGCGTGCCCGCCCGAGGATGACGCGTCCCGCCCGCAGGGATGTCGGGGATGCCTCGAGCGAGACCCTCGTTTTGCAGAGCTTGAACGCTCCAGGATGGAGGAGGAGGAGGAGGAGGACTGCGAGGAGGAGGAGGAGGAGGAGGAGGAGGAGGAGGAGGAGCACTGCGAGGAGGAGGAGGAGAAGGAGGAGGAGGAGGAGGAGGAGGAGGACTGCGCTGCTGGGGACAGCTGGAGACCCTCGTTTTGCAGAGCTTGAGCGGCCCGAGCGCTCCAGGATGGCTCGAACACCTCGCAATGTGCTCGGGAACGTGGCCACGGGAGCGCGGACAGAGCGTGATTCACGGGGGAGGGCGGCCCCGGGAGCGCGGACGCAGGGTTGCTCACTACAGATCGTGGCCCGGGGAGAGCGGACGCAGCGTAACTTACAAGGGAGCGCAGCCTTGGGAGCGCGGACGCAGCATAATTTACTATGGATCGTGGCCCTGGGGGAGCGGACACAACGTAATCTACTGGGGATCCTGGCCCAGGGAGCGCGGACACAGCGTAATTCACGAGGGAGCGCAGCCCTGGGAGGGCGGACGCAGCATAGTTTACGATGGGTCGTGGCCCTGGGAGCGCGGACGCAGCGTAATTTGCTATGGATCGTGGCCTTGGGAGCGCGGACGCAGCGTAATTTACGAGGGTCCTGGCCCTGGGTCAGGGACGTCCCGTGGCACGTTCGTTGTCGTGTTACCTCCCTGGCACGTTCCGTGGCTCGTCCCGCGGCGAGTCCCCCTGGGCACGTCGCGCGGCGCGTCCCCTGGCACGTCCCGTGGCACGTCCATCGGCACGTTCCGTAGCGCGTCTCCTTTGGCACGTCCCGCGGTGCGTCCCCTTTGGCACGTCCCTTGGCACGTCCCCTGGCGCGTCCCTTGGGATGTTCCGCGGCGCGTCCCCCTGGCATGTCCCCCCAGCATCGCCCAAGTGCAAATGCAATTCAGGTCCTTAGAAACGGTTCCATGCCTCGCAGTTCTCAATCCCTTTCCCGATTCGTGGGTCGCTCATGTTCGTGCCTTCTGCTTCGCTTGGTTTCAATGTCCAACGCCTTCATATCTGGCCGGCCGCGCTACATACAGAAATGTGGTCGGGTGTGCAGGGGATGATGTGGACTGCGGACATGCTCAGCATGGCGGCGGACGGGATCGCCATCATCGGGGCGCTGCCAGTATTCATGAACAAATTGATTGGCACCTGCGTGCATAACAGGCTTCGCTGCTCCTTGTGCGATCGCGTGCCAGCTGAAGTGAGGCTCGAAAGAGGGAATTCATACAGGGCTCGGGATACAGGGATAGGGATATCGGATGTGGGAATAGGGGGCGGGATATAGGGTATGGGGTAAGAGGGATAGAATAGGGATAGAGGAACTGGGGTAGGGATACTGATACGGACAGGGAGAGGGACGGCAATCGGAGGCCACTGTCTTGATCCCGATCCCCCCATCGTGGCCCCCCACTGTGACCCCCCCGTCGTGACCCTCACCGTGACCGTGTAGAGTTGCTGATGGTCTTCCGCTGCAAGGGTGCCATGTGCTACTATATAGATTCCCCAGGTTGGTCCGTCCTTCCCCGATCAGCGCAGATCGAGTGGTCGCGCATTGTACCGACTGATGACCGAATGGTCATTATCAGACATGGGCATGTTTCAGAGCAGGAAGACACGGGATTGGAAAGGTGTAAGGCTCTGCTACGAGGGATCCGACGCATGATGTTATTATCGTTCATGCTATCACCGATTTCAGCAAGGATGTACTTCGCCATCTCGCGTTCGCTCTTCGCAGGGACCCTGCCGCTACCCTGGGTAGCGGCATACCAATCCTGTAGACGATGGTCCCTTCGCTGAGGGGCGGCACATATGCCGTGCGACGCCTTGCTGGCACCACTGGAGGCACCACATGTTGACTAATGAGTCGATGTAGTTGGACAGTGTATCTCCCGAACTCCCGCCAGCTTGGCACTTTCCCCACGGGTGGGCTCGAAAATGGCCAGTGGAACTCGACGCTCTTCTCGCCGGCATGGGACCCCCCGGCGAGGGTCGAGTCTGCGGTGCTGGCGGCCATGTGGCCTCTATCGTCGTGTGGTCGTCGGTTTGCTGTACCGGCTGTCGTTGCCTACTTGATGGCGAAGTTCCTCCTTGTGCTTGACTCGCTGGTTGCACCAGTACCCACTGCGACGTGCAGCTCGCCAAAGTCAGTCGCTGGTTGAGGTGCGGCCCGGCAGTCCCCACGGCTTCCGTGGCACGAGCCGCCAGCCGAGTGTCAGAGCGTGAATTACCTACCCCGCTTTCGCTTCCAGGAAAAAACAAGTCATACCACGCGCCTCCTCGTCAATCGGCCTGACCAGTACAGGCCGTAGTTTGGCATCGTTTGGTATCTCTTGGAAGCGTGGGTGGTCAAAAGCGAGGTAGGTTTGTTTCCCCCTAAGAGTGGCAGGTGCCACCGGTGGCGGTTCGCGCTCGCATGCTCTCCTCGCATGCGGCCTGCAGGCGATGCCGCAGGTGATCCGGCCGGGCCCTCCTCGGCCGATGGCAGCAGTGACGGCTGCGCGGCGCGGCACAGCGCAGAGAAGCACCATACGGCCCCTGGCACGGTGGCATCACCACTGGTACCTGGCACCTTCCCTGGCGCCTCCCCCGGGGCACGCCGCGCGACGCGTCCCCTGGCACGTCCCCTGGCACGTCCGCTGGCACGTTGCGTGGCGCGTCCCCCTGGCACGTCCCGTGGAGCGTCCCCTTGGCACATCGCGCGGCGAGTCCCCTGGCACGTCCCTTTGCACGTCCATTGGCACGTCCCGTGTCGCGTCCCCTGGCATGTCACTGCGCGGCGCGGCACAGCGCAGAGAAGCACCATACAGCCCCTGGCACGGTAGGATCACCACTGATGCCTGGCACCTTCCCTGGCGCCTCCCCCGGGGCACGCCGCGCGACGCGTCCCCTGGCACGTCCCCTGGCACGTCCCGTGGCGCGTCCCCCTGGCACATCGCGCGGCGCGTTGGCACGTCCCCTGGCACAGCGTCATCACCGTTGACATCTTCAGCATTGCCACTGCCCATCGCCCAACTGAGGTGCTCGGAGACCCTTCCATGCCTCGCAGTTATGAATCCCTTTCCAGGTTCGTGGGTCGATGATGTTCGCGTGCCGCTCGGGCGGCGGCGTGAGGGCGCCGAGAGGCTCTCCAGACTTGAGTCCAAAGCCCCGGCGCGCGTTCGGTCCTGCCGCCCGAGGGCAGCTATATATAGATGTGCGACGAGGGACATACGAGGAGGAGGGCGAGCACGCGAGGAGAGCACCCACGAGTTTGGTCTTGCGCTGGGAGGCATTGCCAGTGCTCCGCGATTTCCGCTGCCGAGCAATTCCTCTTGTCTGGCACCATGCGCTGGCCTAAGTGCGTGCGCCTTTGACGCTTCAGAATTGGTCCAAGCAAGCGTAGGGAGGGGAGAAGGACAAGGAGGATTCGGAGGAGGAGGAGGAGGAGGAGGAGGAGGATTCGGAGGAGCAGGAGGATTCGGAGGAGGAGGAGGATCCTGGGGAGGAGGAGGAGGAGGAGGAGGAGGAGGAGGAGGGGAGGAACAGGAGGAGGGGGAGGAACAGGAGGAGGAGGAGGAGGAGGAGGAGGAGGAGCCGCAGCAGCAGTGAACAGCAACAGCAGCCCGCGGGGAGGCTGGAGCTCAGCTCCCTGTCCTCCCGGCAGGTGCCTGGGCTCCCTGCTGACGCTGCTGCTCACGGCCACCGTCTGCGACGCGGGCGCCGCGGTGATGTTCCTCAGCTCCGAAGGCGGCGCTCCGTTGCTGCGTCTTCTCGGAGGACGTGTGGGGGGCCCCTCGCCCTGTGGAGCGCCCAGCCTGGACGCCGGCAGCTCCTGGACGAGCCCAGCACGCTATGGGCCGTGGTCTCCACGGCCTGCGGCCTGCTGCAAAGCCCCCCCCCCCGGGCCTGCGGGCCTGCGGGCCGCAGCCCCCGACCCAGACCGTGGGGGGAAACGGGCCCCTGCCGACCGCTCCCGGCCACCTCCGCACCCCCAGGGCGGCGGGCGCGCTGCCGGTGGAGCAGGAGAGAACAGAGGGAGTAGGAGGAGAAGTAGGAGGAGGAGGAGGAGGAGGAGGAGGAGGAAGAGGAGGAGGAGGATGAGGAGCTGGTGGAGGACAGACGGAGGGACGTGCACGCTGGGGACTCCCGGAATCCGTCCAGCACCGAGGAGATTTCGGACCACAATTCGGCTGCCCGCCCCAGATGTCTGAACATGTTGATTTCCAGCCGAGAAAACGTTCGGGTGCTCCCCAAGGGGGAGATTACAGCGTAAAACAATGGCAAAGCCAATCAAACAAATTATGAATTGATGGGACATGCTGGGGTGCTGTAAGAGGTTCTGACCTGACTGAGGGGCGGTAGTTGTTGACAGTTTGTTTGCAGCTGTGCGCATCCTTGGTTGAATTGATGGGCACGGCATCGAACGGCTGACCCTTAGAGATTACGGTCGAGCGTATGATTGAGAAATTTCCTCCCGAAAAGCTGGGTCAGCGTTTCTTGACCAACTTGCCAGAATAGCTGACGCACTTTCTAAAGCACGGCCACCCCTCCAGCACTCACCGAACAAAAGTATTACGGGTGTAAAGTATTACGGTCGGAGCAACGTTTGCTCAGCATGTGGTCCAGAACTGCAGTCGAGACGCGAAATGAGGACCGCTTTGGGTTCGGAACGGGCTCGGTGTTCCCTGGGTCCTCGCGTGGTTATTCCTCTAGCCCTCCTCGTGCACGCGGGCGCTGTTGGCGCCGAAAGGGGGCTCCGTTCCTTTTCTAGCGTTACTTACTTCAGCAGCCCGACTGTAGTAGGGGTGAGTTGCTCCACCGGCGTTGTCCCTCACTTTCGGCCCTCGGGGGCCGCTTCTGGGCCCTGGGGCCGTCAAAAATGAACCCAGGACGAGAAGCTATCCCCAGGGAGGTGGTCGGGACTTCTGGAGGCGAGGCTGGAGGACGCGCGCAGGAGCGATCCTGAGGGGCAGCGGAGAGGGGAGATCGGACGGGACCAGGGCGAGGACAAGTCCATTCCAGAGCGCTCCGAGAAGGCCGTGTCGCCAGATAAATCCTCCGGAGCCGCCCGATCTCAGAGATTCGATTCTCGATTTATCCCTACCGTTGGTTGATGTTCCTCCCCCCTCTCCTCCTCCTCCTCCTTCTCCTCCTCCTCCTCCTCCTCCTCCTCCTCCTTTCCCTCCCTCTCCAATTGATTCAATGTTGCCGGCCGTAGTGCTATGAATCAGGGGGCCTTTTGGCACGCGAGGTGCTCAGCCCAGCACCCGCCGTTCGCTGCCATGCCCTAATTGCTCATGTGCATGTTGGACACACGGCGTATTCTTCTTCTTCGATGTTATCCTCGTTCTGGAGGGCATGTTTGCTCGGCTCGGCGTGTCGCGCCACCGGTTGTGGCTCACCGCACCACGGCCCGGCGCGGCGCGCTGACCACCTCCTCGCTCGCAGGCGTCAACGCCCCGAGCCTTTCCCGGCATCCCGCCCCGCGAAGCGGGGCGGCACGACATCTGTTGTCAAGCCATGCTGTGCCGCGAGGGGCGCCGCCGCGACACGCCAAGCAAAGCTCCCCAGCCGGATGGTGCAAGCAGCTGCACTGCCGTCTTGCGAGGCGCTGACGGGTAGAGCGGCCTCCCCCTCTCAGCGGAGGCGAGGGCAGAGAGGCACCCGAGGATCGCGAGGAGGAGCGAGAGGAAGAAGAAGAGCAGAAAGAGGAAACGTATGAACCCTCCTCCTCCTCCTCCGCCTCCTCCTCCTCCGCCTCCTCCGCCTCCTCCTCCTCCTCCTCCTCCTCCTCCTCCTCCTCCTCCTCCTCCTCCTCCTCCTCCTCCTCCTCCTCCTCCTCCCCCTCCAAGGAGTTTGGCGCGTTGTCCGAGGGCGGGGGAGGTATCGAGGCAAGGCTGCGTCCAGGCGGCAGAGGCCATGATGTTGTACGAGCCTATTCGCTGCGCGCTTTCCAAGCGCCCAGGAGAGCCCCGAGGCTCTACACAGGGCATCCCCAGGCTGAAAGAAGTCCCAAAAAGCACTTCACGAGGATCAGTTTTGTGGCATTGCGCACAAGCGACTGATCTGACGCGACCACGTCCAGACAAGCACGATGCCACAAAGCAATGTGTTCAGGCCACCCAGGAGGGATATCTGACATGGTGGTCCTGCGCTGGAACCGCGTGTTTTCGCGTGTCCAGGCCAGCCAGGGGTGTATCTAACATGGTGGTCCTGTGCTGGAGCCGCGTGTTTTAACGTGTCCAAGCATGGTTGTCCCGAGCTGGAACCACGTGTGCTTTTTTTTACCGTGTCCAGGCCACCCAGGGGGGTATCTAGCATGGTTGCCCCGAGCTTGAAACATGTGTTGTTACATGTCCAGGCCACCCAGGGGGGTACCTAACATGATTGCCCAGAGCTGGCACCACGTGCTTCTACATGTCCAGGCCACCCAGCGGGGTATCTTACATGGCTACCCCGAGCAAGGACAACGTGTTTTACCGTGTCCAGGCCACTCAGGGGTGTATCTAATGGTTGCCCAGAGCTGGCACCACCTGGTTTACGTATCCAGGCCACCCAGGCGGTATCGAGCATGGTTGTCCTGAGTTGGAACCACGTGTTTTAACGTGTCCAGGCAACCCAGGGGTGCATCTAACATGGTAGCCCAGAGCTGGATCCACGTGTTTGTACGTGTCCAGGCCACCCAGTGGGGTATCGAACATAATTGTCCCGAATTGGAGCCACGTGTTTGTACGTGTCCAGGCTGCCCAGGGGGTATCTAACGTGGCGTCGGGCTCAACGCCGAAGTATCAAGAAACGCACGGGGGGGGGGCGAAAAGCGCTACCCGGGCACATATCCAAATCCAGAAAAGTGATGTTGCCTTGTTCTGGACAGGGGTTGGCGCGTTGGAGGCCCCTCCAGGGAAGCCACTGCGAGAATGTCTCGAGCGGGAGCGCGACCTCAGGGTATCCAGGCCACCCAGGGGGGTATCTAACATGATTGCCCTATGCACGGACCACGAGCTGGCACCACGTGTTTTAACGTGTCCGGGCCACCCAGTGACGTATCTAACATGGTTGTCCCGAACTGGAACCACGTGTTTTTACAGTCCAGGCCACCCAGGGGGATATCTAGCATGGTTGCCCCGAGCTTGATCCATGTGTTTTTACTTGTCGAGGCCACCCAGGGGGGGTATCTAGCATGATTGTCCAGAGCTGGCGCCAGGTGTGTGTACGTGTCCAGGCTACTCAGAGGTGTATCTAACATGGTTGTCCCGAGTTGAGACCACGTGTTTGTACGTGTCCAGGCCACCCTGGGGTGTATCTAACATGGTTGCCCCGAGCTGGAACCACGTGTTTTAACGTGTCCAGGCCACCAAGGGGTGTATCTACTTTGGTTGTCCAGAGCTGGTCTCACGTGTTTTTTTACAGTGTGCAGGCCACCCAGGGGGGTATACAACATGAGTGCCCCGAAGTGGAGCCACTTGGGTTTACAGGTCCAGGCCGCACAGAAGGGGGTACTTAACACGGCGGAAGCAGGTGTTTTAACGTGTCCAGGTCACCTAGGGGGTGTCTAACATGGGCCTCTTAGGGCCTTCCTGGGGGCTTGGAACGGACGTCTAACATGAAGATGTGTTGGGGATGTCTCGAGCGAACCACGTGTGCTGGCGTGTCCAGTTCGCCCAGGCGGATGCCTAGCAGAAGGATGTATTGAGGATGTGTTGAGCGAAACACTTGTTTGCACGTGCCCAGGTCGCCCAGGCGGACGTCTAGCATGAGGGTTTGGGCAGGATGTCTTGAGCGAAACGCTTGTCCCCGACACGTTCCGTAGCGCGTCCCCTTGGCACGTCCCGCGGTGCATCCCCGTGGCACGTCCCCTGGCACGTCGCTTGGCGGGTCCCCTGGGACGTTCCGCGGCGCGTCCTCCTGGCATGCTTTCTTGTCAATTAGCTCTGGGGCAGCTACTACGTGCTCAGGCAACTCGAGCTTAAGATCCACATCAGTTCGGTCAGGATTCGGATGCAAACGAAGACTCGATCCACAACGCTATAGAGCGCAATCGCGGCATAGCACATCGCAGTTCAGCACGGCGCAGCACAGCACAGCCCTCGGCACGGTAAGTACATCAAGATCAATCGATTCAGCATTGCAACCTGGCACGTTCGGTGGCGCGTCCCGTGGCGAGTCCCCTTGGCACGTCGCACGGCGCGTTCCTGGCACGTCCCGTGGCACGTCCATTGGCACGTTCCGTAGCGCATCCCCTTGGCACGTTTCGCGGTGCGTCCCCATGGCGCGTCCCGTGGCACGTCGTTTGGCGCGTCCCTTGGGACGTTCCGCGAGCGTCATCCTAGCATGTCCCCTTGTCAATTAGCTCTGGGGCAGCTACTATGTGCTCAGTCAACTCGAGCTTAAGATCCACATCAGTTCGGTCAGGATTCGGATGCAAACGAAGACTCGATCCACACCGCTATAGAGCGCAATAGCGGCATCGCACATCACAATTCAGCACGGCGCAGCACAGCACAGCCCTCGGCACAGTGCATCAAGATCGATACATTCAGCATTGCAATCTGGCCCTTTGCCCAATCGGGCGCCTTTGAAATGTTGCCATGTCTGACATGTCTATATTCCTTTCCAGGTTCGTGGGTCGATCATGTTCCCGCGTTTTAAAGAGACAGCACCACGCGTTTCGCTCCTCCCCTCCGCCCCCTTTTCCCGCTCCTCCCTCCTCCCATCCATTGCACCCCTTACACGCATCGTGGCATCATAGGGAGCTCCACCGAAGGCCCCAGTGGCAGGGTTCGGGTTCGCATGCGGTTCCACCCCGATTTCGGCACACCCCTCACACGCTTCATGGACCCATCGGGAGTTGCGCCGAAGGCCCCAGTGGCAGGGTGTGCCTGCGGTTCCACCCTCATTACGGCACACCAATCACACGTCTCGTGGCCCGTATAGGGAAGAACCCTACCGGAGGCCCCAGTGGCAGGGTTCGCATACGGTCCCCCATGTCGGCACATCTCTCACACGCTTCGTGGCCTCATAGGGAGCTCCACCGAAGACGATACTCACAGCTGCGGCACTCACAACTGCATATGGATGGGTCCTTCGCCAGGCGAGTCGTTGTTTGGGCCGCCCGGCCTGGTACATACCCTGATAGCTCCCGAACCCTTCATCGAAACGTGCCCTCGGACTCGTGGAGAAGGAATTTGGGAAGGAGTTGGTCTCTCTCGCGCTTCTGTCCCAATGGGGTTGGCAACTGTGGCTCCATTTTGCATCGCCTCGAAGGTAGAAGATGAGAGGCACAGGAAGAAATGCACTGATGGAAGAGAGCCGAGCTGGGGTCGAGCCGAGATGTGCACGCGCCTGCTGTCTTCGGGGTGGCCCCTCAGGCGACGCCTGGCGGCTGATGTGGCAGCGCGCAGTGCACGAGGGCGCGCCAAAGGCGGTCGCCTTCATCGGCGTACGGGAGGCCAGCCGACAGACGTCATCTTTCTCCGTGCCTGCTGTGAAGGCCTTGCGGCCTGTGCCGCCGACCCTGAAGGCGGACCCCCGCTGGCGCCCCTCCCCGGGGATCCGCTTGGACCCACCCAGGCCTGGCATCGTTCGGACGTGTGCATTTTTTTCTCGGCGAGGACCCTGGAGGAGCATCCTGGACCATCGAGCAAAATTAGCCTGGCGAAGAACCCAACCATATGCAGTTGTCAGTACCGCAGCTGCGGGTTTCATCTTGAATGGAACTCCCCATAGGATTACGGAACGTGTACGTGTGAGGGGTGTGCCGAGATGGGTGCCACTGGGGCATTCGGCGAAGCTCCCTATGGGGACATGAAACACGCGCGGGGCGTGCCGACATGGGTGGCGGAAACGCATGTGCGGGCCGCCACTGGGGCCTCCAGTGGAGCTCCCTATGGGTCCCCGAAACATGATGCTGCTGCGGGGGGGGGGGCCGGGATGGGTGGCGGAGACGCATGTAAGCGCCGCTACTGGGGCCTTCGGTGGAGCTCCCTATGGGGCCACGAAGCGCGTGAGGGGTGTACTGGGATGTGTGGCGGGGACGCATGTGAGCGCCGCCACTGGGGCCTTCGGTGCAGCTCTCTATGGGGCCACGAAACGTGTGAGGGGTGTGCCGAATTGGGTGCGGGTGGTGACGCATGCGGGCGGCAGCACTGGGGCCTTCGGTGGAGCTCCCCATGGGGCCACGAAACCTGTTGTTGTGAGGGGCGTGCCGGGATGGGTGGCGGGGACGCATGTGAGCGCGGCCGCTGGGGCCTTCGGTGGAGCTCCCTATGGGGCCACGAAACGTGTGAGGGGTGTGCCGAATTGGGTGGGTGTGGGTGACGCATGTGAGCGCCGCCACTGGGGCCTCCGGTGGATGATGGGGCCACGAAACCTGTCAGGGATGTGCCGAAATGGGTGTGCGGGACGCATGCGCATGTGAGCGCCGCCACTGGGGCCTTCGGTGGAGCTCCCTATGGGGCCACGAAACGTGTGAGGGGTGTGCCGAAATGGGTGTGGCTGACGCATGCGGGCGCGGGCACTGGGGCCTTCGGTGGAGCTCCCTATGGGGCCACGAAACGTGTGAGGGGTGTGCCGAAATGGGTGTGGGTGACGCATGCGGGCGCGGGCACTGGGGCCTTCGGTGGAGCTCCCTATGGAGCCACGAAACGTGTGAGGGGTGTGCCGAAATGGGTGTGGGTGACGCATGCGGGCGCGGGCACTGGGGCCTTCGGTGGAGCTCCCTATGGAGCCACGAAACGTGTGAGGGGTGTGCCGAAATGGGTGTGGGTGACGCATGCGGGCGCGGGCACTGGGGCCTTCGGTGGAGCTCCCTATGGAGCCACGAAACGTGTGAGGGGTGTGCCGAAATGGGTGTGGGGGACGCATGCGGCCGCGGGCACTGGGGCCTTCGGTGGAGCTCCCTATGGAGCCACGAAACGTGTGAGGGGTGTGCCGAAATGGGTGTGGGTGACGCATGCGGGCGCGGGCACTGGGGCCTTCGGTGGAGCTCCCTATGGAGCCACGAAACGTGTGAGGGGTGTGCCGAAATGGGTGTGGGTGACGCATGCGGGCGCGGGCACTGGGGCCTTCGGTGGAGCTCCCTATGGAGCCACGAAACGTGTGAGGGGTGTGCCGAAATGGGTGTGGGTGACGCATGCGGGCGCGGGCACTGGGGCCTTCGGTGGAGCTCCCTATGGAGCCACGAAACGTGTGAGGGGTGTGCCGAAATGGGTGTGGGTGACGCATGCGGGCGCGGGCACTGGGGCCTTCGGTGGAGCTCCCTATGGAGCCACGAAACGTGTGAGGGGTGTGCCGAAATGGGTGTGGGTGACGCATGCGGGCGCGGGCACTGGGGCCTTCGGTGGAGTCTATGACGCATATGAGCTCCCTATGGAGCCACGAAACGTGTGAGGGGTGTGCCGAAATGGGTGTGGGTGACGCATGCGGGCGCGGGCACTGGGGCCTTCGGTGGAGCTCCCTATGGAGCCACGAAACGGTGTACTGGGTGGGTGAAGAGGAGAGGAGGAGAGGAGGGGAGGAGAGGAGGAGAGGAGAGGAGGCGGAGGAGGAGAGGAGGAGGAAGGAGACGCGGGGCACCGTCTCTTTCAAAACGAGGACCCAACACCACAGGATGGTTGGGAAAAAACACGCACGAAGCCGAAAAATGCACAGGGAATGGACGTCCGAGCGACGGCAAGCAGGGTGGGGGCGGTATTCGGACCCGGGACCACCCTTCCCCACCACAGGCGGGACCTCCCCCCGGGACCCCCCCAGGACCTCCCCCCTGCAGCCCCCCCGCCCCCTTGCCTCTCCTGTCCACGGGGGGGCATCGGGGAGGAGAGGAATGGGCCGCCGGGGACCCCCGGGGGGCGGCAATCGGACCTGGGACCCCCCCCCCTGTCCCCTCCCCTCCTCCTCCTCCTCCTCCTCCTCCTCCTCCTCCTCCTCCTCCTCCTCCTCCTCCTCCTCCTCCTCCTCCTCCTCCTCCTCCTCCTCCTCCTCCTCCTCATCCTCTCCCCCCCGAACGCCCCCCCCTACCCCGCCCCCCGTTAGGGAGGGGAAAAGGGGAGGGAATCGATGTGATAACTACGACGTGTCTCTTCTCTGCTCGTTTCTTCATGTCCTTGGGACTGGCGACGACGACGACGATGATAATGACGACAGCGTCTCACACACGCCGAGGGGTCGGCGGCTCAGGCTGTATGGGAAAGCTATTGTTCATGTTGCCTGCTGTCGAAAGAACAAGGGGGCCATCCAGCGGGCCTCTCCTCCTGACTTGGGAAACCGTGTCGTGTAGGCCACCCTCACGATTACGCTTCCGAAGCGTGTAACGTCCATGGGGTCGCGCAAATCAAAGCTCAAAGTGTTGCTATAATGATTCGTTATTCCTGAACTGCAAACCTCAGGCCCTGACATCAAAACCCCAGGAAGCAATCGGCACAGGGAAAGACCACATGGAAGTTTCACAAGATGCGGTCTGGGACGGTATCAGGCTCGTCTGGTGGCACGTCCAAGCTTCAGCGCTGCAGTTCCAGGACGATTTGTTATCAAAGCACGACTTTTGGAACGGCTCCTCAATTCTGAGCGCAGCCACACACCCGCCAGCCACCCATAGAACAAAAAGAAAAACATAAACATATGTTGTCGAGGGTTCGCTCGAAATTCACCCGCTTTCTGGCGCGCCCTGGCGCGCTCCGCGCGCCAGGGCTGCTCTAGAGGCGCCGCCAGGGGGGTCCAGCGCAGATCCAAGAAGTCCGCGGGGACGTCCAGAAGTCATGTTCATGCCGGTGTTTTCTTTTTCTGCACACGCACCCGCCAACCATCCAGGGTCCTCTCCTGAAGTCGTGGGACGACTTACTACGTCAGAGAGGGCACCTCACAAGCCCAGATGTCGCCCAACCCCAACGCGGCTTTTGTCACAGGGTGCCTCGGGGAGGCGTCGCTGGCGGATGGCTGACCCGCGCGATTGCTGGGGCATGGCGCCTGAAACGTTTTGCGGGGCGTGACGCTCATCGGCGATGACGACCCGTTTGATCAGAGGAGGGCCAGTTGAGACAACGGTACTTGGCCTTCGTGTGGGGCCTTCGTCGTCACGGCCGGACGCAGCTCGGAAAATTGGTGCGTTTGGACCTTGGAGGGTCGGGGGCAGTTTTGATGTGCCGTTGTCTCAATTCGCCGTGCTCCGATTTGAGACGCCGCAGTTGGCGATATCAGCACGTGTGGTTCGCTGGACACGGCGTTCATTAGCGATGCCAGCCGGCGTGGTTTTGGTGGGGCGCGCACTTTTTGACGGTGTCGGCCGTTATGCGTTGTGTCTCACGTTTGCCAAGACGATACCAGCACGTGTTATTCATCGACACGGATCTCACCCGCAAAATTGGCCCACTTGGTTTGGGGGCACGGCGCATCTCGGCGATGCATACCCGACTGGGGTTGTTTGGCGCATCGTTCATCGGCGATGCCGGCCCATGCGATTCGTGACAGGGTGCGATTGTCTCGAGCCACTGGGATCCCTTGATCTGGAACATCAGGGCAAGACCAAGTGATTCGCATCGTTGCGAGCCGCGCTTCTAAAGAAGGAGTACTGCGGCCATGACCGCTAGTAGAGCGGGCGCCGACCATGAAGGAGGGGCCGACTGGCGCGCGACAGGCGATGCCAGCGGCGACGGCTGCGGCGACGACAACGACGACAGTGACGGTGGTGGCGGCGGCGGCATCGACGATTTCGACGGCAGCGACGGCAGCGACGACGACAGCGACCGCGACTTCGGAAGGGCCAACAGGCGCCGACCACGAAAGAGGGGCCGAGAGGCGCGCGACAGGCGGCCATGGGCGGCCACCTCGGGGTCCCATTCGGGCCTGTCGGGACGAGGTTTGGGAAGGCCTCGGGGCCGTCTGCGGGGCGGGCGCCTCGCGGCTATCTTGCAGCGGCTGTGCCAGGCCGTCTCGGGCCTGCTTTCGGGGCCACTCTTGGCCCACGTCGTGGTCGGCCACACGCAGAGAGGCAGGGGGAGGGGGGAAGGCTTCCTAGAAGCACCCTGCTTCTTGGAAGGCGCGGGCCCTACCTATAGATGTAAGGCCGGCGCCTTCCAAGAAGCAGCCTCCTTTGAAGAAGCTTTCCCCCCTCCCCCTACCCCCTTGTGCGAGCCGCCAACGTGGGGCGTCTGTCGAAGAACCAAAAAGCGGCACAAACATGATGCCTCGGAGGTCCACGCGGATTTTTGGATTGATGTTGGGCGGCGCCTCGGGCGCCGCCCCTGGCGCGCGCCAGGAAAGGGGGGCCCAGCGCCGATACAAGAAATCCGCGTGGAACCTCCGAGACATGATGTTCACGCCGTTCTTGTTGTTCCTCTCTAGAAGCCTCTGGGGCCCACGTCGGAGCTGTCGCGAGCGGAGTGGGGAACGCCAGGATTGCACAGCAGCCAAAAGGATGCGGATTCATGCTACCTTTCGGGAACGTTCCGCGATGCGTATTGACACCTCTTGGAGCGCATCTTGAGGTCCGAGGGGTCGTGTCCGAGATTTTGTCCCGGGAAGGGCGCCTGCCCAGGATTCTCTTTCAGTTAGTTTTGCCCCTGGCCTCGACTTGCGTAGAGCCGGCGAAATTATTCTGCGATAAAGGACGAGGTCGCGCAGGGCCAGTGGAATTGCATTGTGAGAACGTCTCAAGCGAAACGCTGTTTTTGGAAATTCCAACTGAGGAAGCACATGGTAAATAATAAGTGTCCGTTTATTGCGGATGTCTCGGGCGGAACGCTTGTGTTGCAGGATGTGTTGAGGATGTCTCGAGCAAAACGTTTGTTTTATCATACATGGTTTCCTCTTCTTGAGGCCAGAATTCAGAGGATGTCTCAGGCGAAATGCTTGTTTTCACATGCCCAGGTCACCCATGGGGGTATCTAACATGGCTGTCTCCAGATGGAACCACGTGTTTCGCGTGTGCGAGGCCGCCCACGGGGGTATCTAAGACAGCAGTCCCGAGCGTGGACCAAGTGTTCTTACGTGTCCAGGCCACCCTGCGGATTATCTGACATGGTGGTCCCGAGCTGGAACCACGTGTTTTTGTCACGTGTCCAGACCACCCAGAGGGGTATCGAAGATGATGGCCCCAAGCTGGAACCACGTGTTTTTTGTTCGTGTGCGGGCCACCCACGGGGAGGTATCTAATATGTGGTCGTCTGATAGCCCCCAGCGTGGGGTCCACAAGAGCCAGACCAAATCAACACATCGAAGCCAGATGTGTAAAACATGTTTCAGCTTCTTCGGCTGGCGATTCTCCAGGAATCCCCTGGGGTATCGAACATGGTGATCCAGAGCTGAAGCGACGTGTTTTCACGTCTTCAGGGCACCCAGAAAGGTATCTCACATGATGGTCCCGAGCTGGAACCACGTGTCTTCACATGTCCAGGCCACCTGGAGGGGTATCCAGCATGGCGGCTCCAAGCTGGAACCGCGTGTGTAAAACGTGTCCAGGCCACCCAGGGGGTATCGAACATGATGGCCCCGAGTTGGGACCATGCGTTTGTTCACGTGTGCGGGACACCCACGGGGTGTATCTAACACGTGGTCGTCTGGGAGCCCCCAGCGTGGGGGGCCCACAAGAGCCAGACAAAACCAAAAAAAGGAAACCAGATGCGCAATAACTGACACAATTTCTTCGGCGGGTGATTTTCCAGACTTCCCCATGGGGTATCTAACATGGTGGCCCCGAGCTGGAACCATATGTTTTCACGCGTCCAGGCCACCCAGAAAGGTATCCAACACGATAGCCCCGAGCTGGACCCACATGTTTCTATGTGTCCAGGCCACCTGGAGGGGTTTCTAACATGGCTGCCCGAACTGGACCCACATGTTTTCACGTGTCCAGGCCACCCAGGGGGAATATCTAAAGTGGTGGTCCCCAGCTGGAACCACGAGTTGTCACGTGTCCAGGGGTATCTAACATGGTGGCCCCGAGCTGGAACCATGTGTTTTTTCGTCCCCAGGCCGCCCAGGGGAGGTATCTAACGTTGTGGTCCCGAGCTGGGCCCATGTATGTTTACGCGTGTGGGCCACCCAAGAGGTGTGTACCCAGCATGTGTTCGTCTTGGCGCCCCCAGAGTGGGGGCCACAAGAGCCAGACAAAGCCAATACGTCGGCACCAGACGTGGAATAACTTGACACAGGTTCTTCGGCTGGTGGTCTTCCAGATGGCCCACTGAGGTATCTAGCATGGTGCTCCCGAGCTGGAACCACGGGTTTTTACGTGCCCGGGCCACCCAGGAGGATATCTACTATGGTGGCCACGAGCTGGAACCGCGCACGCGGTCGTCGCCGTCCGCCACCGTTGTCGTCGTCGGCGTTTCGGCACGCCCCTTTTCGATGCATGTCGCCTCGCTCTGGGTTCGCGGCGGGACAAAATCCTTTTCATAAGGTCTTGATTGCAACCAGCTCTGGGCGAGCAATGCGCCCAGGCAGCTCGAGCTTGAGGCCCAGCTCAGGTCTGTCAGGGTTCGGATGCCAGGGAATAGTTGATTCACGACGCAACAGAGCACAGAACTGTTCAGATTCGCCTCCGCTCGTATCGTCCCGCTTCCGAGCCGAATCGGGTCTTGAGCCTGAGCAGGTCGAGCGCCCCGCGCGCTTCGATTGCGGCCAGAGGTCTGCATCCAGACAGCTCGAGCTTAAGATCCAGATGAGTTCGATCGGGATTCTGACGCCACGGACGACTGGACACACGATGCAATCGAGCACAGCACTCCAACGCGGCATGGCGCGTCTCAGTGCATCACAGCACAGCACAGCCCCTGGCACTGTACATCACCATCGCTACCCTGAGAATTGCAATTGCCCGCACATTTCTATATCAATTTGCGGGTTCGTGTACCGATCATGGTGATGTTTAAGAGTTCTTCGTAGGCCGTTTGGGAAGGCATGTTGAATGAGGAATCCAGGAGGAAATGTCAGGGGGGGGAGGTTCCAGGGGAAGTGGAAGTGGGGGCAAGGACGACGACGCGACGTTAAGGACCGCGAAAATAAAGGGCGCCGATCTCGAGAATACAGCTGTCCAAGAAAAGATAGAAGCTTTGTACCTCATTAGCACGAGCACGGCACACGGCATTGCCGAGCCCGTCGTCTTGTTGTGAGCACCCCCATCCACCGCTCCGAGATTGTTCGTTTTGGGGGGCAAGTTTCATGTACTAGCAGAAGTTTCAGGGCCCCACCCCGGCCTCGCCGAGCTCGCAGGGAGGGAGGGGAGGACGGAGGAGACGGGGAGGGGAGAAGTAAGCGATCTTGATGTATACGATCCGCGCTACGAGCTCTGCATGGAGAGTTGACGTATGTTGACGCAGACGTGCGGGGCAGTGCGAGCGCCGCTTGACTGCGCCACTCATCACGTCCCTCTGGTGCCCGCGAAGGCAAGCATACCTTTGTGGCTGGCGGTGTCGATGACGGCCTGAGCGAGAGTGGGGTCACTGAGCAAGCAGATGCGGACATTAGCGGGACACGGAGCTCATCGGCGATGCCTCTTCGTGAGTCTGCCAGGCACGGGGGCCATGGGCGATGCCGACCCGCGTGGGCTGCGGGGGGCGGCGCTCATTTACGACACCAGCTGGTGTGCGGGTCGTGGGACGCGTCGTTCATCGGGGACATCGGCCCGCGTGATGTTTGGGGCACGCGCTGTTCTCCTTTTCTCGTTTCCTCGATCCGTCGCTTGTGGTCCTTCGGCGTTCTGCCTTTTCAGGATCAGTCTGTTCCTCCCTCCTCGCGCATCTAGATTCACACCCCCGGCTCGCATGCCGAACTCGTACGAGTGCCCCTCTTGCTCTACTCTCTACTCTGGCGCCTCGCTCGAATCAGGCACTGCGCGCCCCTCCTCTCGCCCCCGCATCCACCGTTTCCCGCCCGCGCCCATCTTCCTTCAGGCTCAGACCCGCGCCGGCTCTCTGCGGTCAAGACGCTGAGATAATAACCTTGGCATCGCTCGGACGTGTGCATTTTTCCTCCGGCGAGGGCAATCGAGGAGCATCCTTGATCATTTGGCGAAAAATCACGCACGAAGCCAAAAAAAAACAGGGAATGAAACACAGGGAATGGACGTCCGAGCGATGCCCAGTGACCGCCCTAGGCTCGAGAGGGCTCCGGTGTTCGGGCCGTTGTGCTTAGATCCAGGTCGGGGGGCCTGCTCGTTGCGGAACTTCGCCTTGGCCAGGACATTCCCAGCGGTCGTTGTGGTCGCACGATGGCTGTACACTCGTCTCCCCGCTCCGCTTCCTCCTCCAAAGTCCCGACCACCCTCATAAGATCCCGTGCTGGAGGGCTGGGAGTGTGGGGGGGGATGCCGCGGAACACCGCGCTGGGCCAGCAAAAAGCACGGCCGCCAGTGCTTCCTGATCTCCTCGATCTCCTTAGAGTTGGCTCGCCGCTCAGCTGTTGCAGCCAGTCGGCGGGAGGACCAGGAGGCAGAGCAGGGGGCTGAGAGCAGGGGGCAGGAGGAGGAGGAGGGATTGACGCTACGGTTCACCCACTAGTGTCTGTGCAGCGCAAAGAAGAGAAGGAGGACGACGACGAGGACCGCTTCCGTCCAGGGAGCTGATCTCCCGCAGCTCGAAGCTCGAAGGAGGAGGAGGAGGAGGAGGAGGACTGGGGGTTGTTGTGGAGCGACCTAGGCTCAAGTGGCAACAATGAGAGAAGCTCGCCCTCCGAGGCAGATTCTTTTCCCCATCCTCCATTCCACTCCTTTTCCTTATAAGCAACTCCTCCCGGCGGGCAACAACCCAACGCTGCGCCGCTTGGAGGACCTCGGCCACCCCGACACCAACCACGAGTGGCTCTGGGCCCTGAGCCGGCACAAAAGGCCCCTCCTCGACCAGCAGGACTCCGTGGAGGGGCTCCGCCTGCGCCTCGGCGCCGCTGGCCCCAGCGAGCCCACCCCCTGCAACCTTTGCGGCACTGAGCTGCTCAACTCCGCGGGTTCGCACGCTCTCTGCTGCAGCAAGGCCGAGGCCACGAAGGGCCACCACGCCTTTGCGCGGCAGGTGCACGAGGCTGCCAAGATTTGCGACCCCACCACCGAGTTCGAGGCGCAGAACCTCATCCTGGGCACCCGGTTGAGGCCCGCGGGCGTACTCACGGGGGGCGCTGGGGAACGGGCTCACGGCCCTCGACATCGGGATCGCTTCTCCCGACGCGTGCAACGCCGGCCCCGACTGCGTCTCCAGCACGTACGAGCGCAAGGCGGCGTACTACGCCCCCTACAGCGACGCTCTGGACCGCCAGAATATCCTGTACCAGCCCCTCGTGTGGCCAGCTTACGGGCGGCCCCACCCCCTGACGACATCCATCCTCCGCACACTCGCGACGGACGGCGCGTGGCGGTACCGCCGCCTGGCCAGCGCGGCTGGCGTGGCGCTGTGCCGGCGGGCGGCCGCCCACGTCTGGGCCTGCTGGCCCGACTGAGGGCGCCGGCCAGGCCCCCCCCCTGGTGCGGGCCCCCCCACTCTCCCCGCCCCCGTCCGCCCCTACGCGCGCCCAACCAGCGGGGTCAGGTGGCTCACGCCCCGCGGCCGCGCTCCCCCCGTTGCCCCTGGCTTGCCTGCCTGCTTGCTTGCTTCCGTCCTCCCTCCCCCTCTCTCTCCTGTTCTCCTCCCTCCCCTCCCTCCTCTCTTCCTCCCTGCTCCCTCCTGGGCCCGGAGGCCGCGCGTCCGCGCGTGGTGCTCTCCCCCCCGTCTTGAGCCAGAGCGCCGCGGCCCGCCCGGCCGCTGTTCCCCGGCGCCACGCGCGGCGCAAGTTGTTTGTCCTCCGTCCCCTCCTCCTCCTCCTTTCCTCGCAGCGTCTGCAAGTTTTCTGTGCTCGGCCAGTATTCCGTGTCGCAGACACTTGGAGGCTCATGGTAAGTTCCGCGTCCACGGCGCCGGGGTTCAGCGAAGCGTCCCAGCGCCTGGCGCCCTTCGGCTCCGCCGCCCTGGCGGGCACACGCCGTTCGCAGCGCCTCCGCGGATCCCAGGGCCCATAAGCGGCCGCCATTTGCAACCCCTGTTCCTCCGCCTCTCCTTCGTCCTCCCCTCTTCTCCTCTTCCCCCCTCCTCGTGAACCGATTCGCGTCCCCTTGTTTGCAGCGTCAGCCGCAGAGCCTGCAGCCTGCAGTGTTTTCTCCGCCTGTGCCCTACGTGGCCGCCCCTTGTGGCTATACATGCTTGACCTGACCTGACCTGTCCTCTCTTGCCAGCCTGGTTCTTTGTTTCCCCCCACTGGCTCTAGGCCGGGGGCGGGGGCTTCGAGGTCGCTAGGCATCCTGGCAGATGCGGCGGCTTCGGCGACGAGTCAGACGGGCGCGACGCGGACAGCAGGCGCGAATCTTTCCGTGGAGAATGGCGCAGTTTCGCATGGGCCGAAACAAAAATCGGGGCCCACACACATATACACCACCACCACCTCCTTCACCCCCTCCCTCACCCAGGAAAGAGGCGAGGAAGAAGAGGGTAGAGGAGAGAGGAGGATTCGATGTGGTGGTGATGTATATACTCTTCGGGCCCGCATTCAAGACGCTGAAGTCAGGAGCAGTTCGGGTCCGGTGGGGATTCGCTGCCTCTTCTGGTCTCTCTTTCCACGTCTGCTCCCCTGGCGCTCCTCGTGCGCCCAGGCGCTTTGGGGGGGGGCCGAGAAGGGGTCCCGTTCCTTACTTGGCGTTCCGTATGGTGCAGTAGCTGCAGTGGCCATGGCCTTAGAAGCGGCAGCAACGGTGCCAGTGGCAGTAGCGCTGGCACAGCAGCGTTGGCCGATGTGGTTTTTTTTCACAACTATTTCGAAGGATCCTCCACATGCATGGTCTTTCGCCCCCACGCCGTCCGTTCTGGTGGCCAGGGTACCTACGAGGCCAGGCGAATCTCTTCGGCAGCGGGGCCTGAGATGACATTCGTCGGAGGAGCCGGTTGAGACCACGGCGGCCCTCCCGCCTGACCCACGTCCGCTCAAAAGCGGGTTCCATACTGCTTCTGGGGTCCTCCAAGAGACCCAGCATGGACACACAGACGCCTGGCCCTCCTCCGAAAGATGACCTTCAATGCCCCGCACGCCCGGTGGTTCTCCTCGGCAGCGAAGAGCGATTGTGTGGGATTGCCTTGCCGAGCTACGGTCTCACCGAGGAATAAGATCGAGGTCGGCTCGTGGAGGGTACCCTAGTGCTCTTCGTGTCTGGCTGGTGGTGTTCTGCATCCTGGGGGAGGGTACCCTCGGTGATCTTCTGGCTTGGGGTGTTTTGGCCGGCGGAGGGTCTCACGTTCTTGAAGGACGTTCTTCTGTCCCAGGTCCGACCGTGCCTAGGTTACCCGCAGAGCCACGAAGAGCACCGCGCTTCGCGCCTCGCGGCTTGGGCTGGAGAGGCGCCCTCCTCCAGGATGGCGGCGCGAGGGCTTTCGAAGGTAACCTTACGTCGGGCACGTCCCCCTACAGGAGGACGATTCAAAAATAGTCAAACATAGCCTGGGGACGATTTTTGTCCGACTATTCTGAACTATGTTTGTTCATTGTTTTAATTGCTGCTAATTTTTTATCCAAAATCCGCCTGTAGGAGGACATGCCCGACCTAAAGGTAACCGCGCGTCGTGCATCCAGGTGACGTACCCTGAGACCCAACGACGCGAAGCAATGCAGCATCGCAAAAAAAACACTCCCCAGAGATCCGACGCTCCAGAAAAGGTGGAGCGGGGGGTGTTTGGCAGTTTTTGTCCTCCAGGAATCCTCGCCGGGCCTCGGGACCGTCAAAAAACGATTCGGGATGAGAAACCGGTCCCAGGGAAGGGGTCAAGACCAGTGGGGGTCGACGTTCTGAACAAATCATGGCGCTGGTGGCCTGCGTAAAGAAAAACCCGGCCAGAGCCTTGGAAACCCACCAAGTATTCTCCGGCATTTCCTGGGCTGGAATGATCCGATAAGGCCCCGGGGCTCGAAGCAGGGCAAGATCGCCAGTGGCACAAGCATTGCAACGCCAGGATCTCAGGGTAGGCCGAGCGTTCCCCTGGCCGAGACCCCCGACGTCATGATCTTTTCATGACGTCGACCCCCAGAGGTCTGGACCCCTTCCCCGGGACCTGCTTCTCATCGCGAGTCGTTTTTTGACGGCCCCGGGGCCCGGTGAGTGCCTCCAGAGGCCGAAAATCACGAGAAGCCTCCCGCCGTGATGTTTTCTTGGCTCGAGGGGGTCTGGGCGGAGGGCGCCCCCATGTAGCCCGGGCCCTTTCCCCAGGGGTCCCCAGAAGCCCCGGCCCCTTCCCCAGGACCGGGTCTTCTTTCCGAGTTGTGCCCGGCCAGCCCACGGGCCCAAACGAGGGCCCCAGCAGGCCGACGACGGCCAAGGGACTCCCGTCGCAATTCTTCTCGTGGCGCGAGCATGTCTGGGGGAGAGGTATGGACAGAGGGACGGCAGCGGAGTGTGGAGGCGCCTGCGGCAGAACCGGGCGGGGTTAGGAAAAGGATAAATCGCTCCAGAGCGTTTCAGAACGCTTTAGGGCCCGCCCAACCCACCCAGCCACTGGCATGGAATGGAGACAGGGAAGGGAATCGACTGCGCTACGACGGTCCTTGTCTTGTGTCCCAATTTCCCGGGGACGGGCGACAACGACGACGACGACGACGACGACGACGACGACGACGACGACGGGCGACGGGCGACGGGCGACGACGACGACGACGACGACGACGACGACGATGACGACGACGACGACGACGACGGCGACGACGACGACGGGCGACGACGACGACGACGACGACGACGACGATGGCGTCTCACACACGCCGAAGGGTCGGCGGATTTAGCCCTGTCCGAGCTTGCCCCTGGCCTGGCGGCGTCTTGCCAGAGGGGCGGCCAGGGCGCCGCCGAGGCGCTGTGCGCCTCGGCCTGGCACTTCTACCGGGCCTTCCGGGAGGCGGGCGCGTACCCGCCCAACATCGCGAGCGTCCGCGTGCCTAGGGACCGCGACGGCAACCGTCGCCGTCGTCGCCGTCGCCGTCGCCGTCACCGTCGCGGTCGCCGTGGCCGTCGTCGCCGTCGTCGTCGTCGTCGTCGCCGTCGTCGGCGTCGTCGCCGCCGTCGTCGTCGTCGTCGCCATCACCGTCGCGGTCGCCGTGGTCGTCGTCGTCGCCGTGGTCGTCATCGTCGCCGCCGTCGCCGACGACGTCGCCGTCGTCGCCGCGGTCGCCGTGGTCCGAAGTCCGGGGCGCGAAGGTCGAGGTCTTGGAGTTTCGGGATCATCGAGTGGGGGCGGTCTGCGCCCTCCTGGGGGGCCTCTCGCCGCCACGGCGCTTGGCCTGGCTCGAAAGTCGACCCTTGGGCGCCCCAAGTATGGGTCCCTGGTTTCCTCCTCCTCCGCCTCCTCCTCCTCCTCCTTCTCCTCATCCTCCTTCTCCTCCTCCTCCTCCTCCTCCTCCTCCTCCTCCTCTTCCGTAGCCTTTTTTTTCCGTAGCCATTTTGGCTCAAGCCATTTTGGCTCAAGTACGAAACCGTCGCCCTGCGGCTTCGTACTTGTCTATTGCCGAGGGGCAGGCCCGAGTTGTTCCGCCTGCAGCAGGCTTCTTTCAGTCTTTCTCGCACCTGGCTCTGGCCTGAGCCTGCAACCATTTCGTCTTTTGTGAGCTCCTGCTGGAGCAATCCGCCACTTCCCTTTCTGCACGGGAGACGGCCTGGTATTATGCACCTTGGGTCAAGCATCAACCTCGCCGCAACGGTGTTCGTACTTCCAAGGTCCTGCACAAACCGTACCGTGTGTGTTCGAAGTGCGGGCATTGGGAATATGTGTCCCACGGGCACCCCTGTTGCTCTAAATGTCAAGGCGAGTATCATGTTCTTTCTGACGGTGGCGTACGTGGTACTGATGATGGTCATGGCCATGGTCGTGGCAAGTCTAAAGTCAAAGGAGATGGAGTTTCGTTCGATGCTGAACTCGAGCGGCTTGCTGCCCTTTTTCCCTGAACGTGCTGAAGCTCTACGCGGTGTTGGCTGCGTTGTTCCACCTCCACCGCCTGAAGTACCTGCCTCGTCAGACAACGACCTGGATAAGAAGGTTGCGAAACGTCGCACTGCCCTTGCCATGGCCGTTGAACGCGATTCTAAAGCTGAGCGGCTGGCCCTGTACGATGTCGAGCAGAAGCTGGCCGCAGTGGTTCGTCACAAGGACGCTTTGGCCAAGGCTGAAGCTATGCATGCGGAGGCGGTCGGTCAGCTCGAGCAAGCCGCAGATGCTCACCGTGCCGCATATGATCAAATGGATTCTTTCGACCCGGTGGAGTATCGTAAGCAGATCCTGGCTGACGAACGGGCAGAACGTGAAGTGTCTGTTCGTGCCCAACGAGATGCAGCTGCTGAAGCTGCACGTGCTCAGGCTCGGCAACCAGAACAAGCGGGTGCAGGTTTTCGTGCTGTCCCTGGTCAAGGCGCTGTTCCTGCTGGCGGTGGTGATCGTGAGGCACCTGCTGGTGGTGAGCCTCGGCAAGTCCCTCCTGTTCCTGCCAATCTTCAGGGTATGGATGAAGCTGCTCTCCGCGCCTGGTGCACCCAGCACCACCAGCGATACGAATTCTGGCAGCAGATCAAGGCCTTCCAAGCTCAGATGGATGATGATGCTATGTCTGACGCTCCTAGTGAGGCCACGAATGATGATGCCAGAATGGAGCTCGATACCCTCAAGAAGCGGAGCATTGACAATGCACTCACGCCTGAGGAACTTGACAAGATGGAGAAACTCATGCAGAAGCAGTCCCAGATCAAGGCAGCCAAGAGGTCACGTACCGTTCGTGAAGGTGCAGTGGTTTCATTCGAGCGAGTTCTTCAACAGTTGCAAGCAGGCGGACCCCTCGGACCACCTGCCCCCTGGCCTGCGTCGGGCTCAGAGGGGCTACCGCAGTGCTCCTAGCGCCCTCCCTTCTCACCTACGGGATCGGTGTCAACAAGAGCGCTGTCGTGCGTCCAGAGGTCGGTCAACGTCTGGTGAGATCAACCTTCATTTCTGCAATATCACATCATGGAATGAGGTCGCCCTGAATTTCTGCCAGGAGCCCAGGCCGATCTCTGACGGGTTTTTCTTTGTAGAAACACATCTTCGGCATGAAGCAGCGAAGAAGGCTAAGCGCAATGCATCGCAAATCGGCTGGAGGCCGCACTTTTACCCTGCCCTCCCCTCCCCTGGAGGGGGAACGCATGGAGGAGTAGGTGCTGTTGTGTCCAAGGGACTTGCGTTTCGGCGTTTCCTGGCCTTTGAGAAAGGCCTCCAGGATGTGGGTTCTGGCCCCAATTGGTTTTCCCTGGAATTAAGGACTCAGCGAGCTGTCATCGCTGTTGGAACGATTTATCTGATTTCGGACCTGGGTGTCTGTGGTGAGAATATCGAACGTCTTCGTTCCGTCTCGGAGTTCTTGGGCACGCCATCTATCCCTTGGTGTTTGATGGGTGACTTTAACATTCCTGTCAACGATCTTGATCTTAGTGGATTTCCTCAACTTGCTCGAGGTAGAGTGTGCATTCCTACTAATGTTGAAGTTACTTGTACTCGGGGCAGAGGGTCTATGATTGACTATGTGGTTGCTTCTAATGATTTGGCGTATCTGTTGGATGTGAAATCTTTCGACCCCAGCCCATGTAAGACCCACTGCTGTCTGTCTGTTACCTTCAAGCACGAGGCCCTGGAACAAGAAATGTGGCAGAGATGTCGCCCACCCCAGTTCCCTGTTTGTCCTGGACCCGATCTTCCTTGGGAAGCTATTCTGGAACGTGTTGCTGATCCTGGCCCTCCTAGGGTCCTTGGATTTCTTGGAGATGCCCTGATTGCACATGTGGCGGACCATCTATCCACGAACATTTCGACTGCCGATTTGCTCTGGTCTCGAGCTACTGAGTACCTTTATGCTTCCCGTGCGTGTGCTGTGGTTGATGATTTACCTGGCACACATAGAGGCGACTTCCCTACTTTTCGGCAGAATAACATCAGGAGGCGCGGCCCGATTGGACAGAGCTTTCGATATCCTGGATTGGCTTTCCGGACTCATCTTTCTCAGAAGTTGTGGGGATACCGCGTCTATACCGCTCGCAAGTCAAAGTGCATGGCCACTGCCTTAGTTAGCGCCCCCCAAGGTTTAGCGGAGAAGATTTCTGCATTTTTGTTGGCCGACGACGTTCGAGGCATCGACTGGTGGCAGGCTCAGCTTAGTTGCCCGCCTAACCAGATTGGTGCGATGGACGATCTATCGGCCGCCGTCTCAGCCTCTCTTGCGCCCGCCTGGCGTGAAGCTAAGGCCACCTCGAGAGCCAACATGAAGAATTGGCTCCTTCGCGCTCTGCCACGAGGCGCTAAGAGAGTCCACGATTGGTTGAAATGCGACCTTGGCGAGCCCCCTGAGGTGTTGGTGACCCCATACCATATTCGTCAGCTCCCTGCTGATTTGCTCCAGTACCGTGAACAATACCGGCGTGATGTTTGGACTTTTGACCCTGGGGCCAGCAAAAATCTCTCTTGCGCGTTGGACCCCCTTAGGCCCCACGCCCTTGAGGCTGTTCAATTGCTTGACCCTCTGGAGGTCAGCGATGTTCAACGAGCTGCCCGCTGTTTCTCAGCGACTACCGCCGTGGGCGTTGATCACTGGCATCCGCGGTCGTTTTTGGACTTGCCCAGGGGCGCTGTCACGGGGTTCACTACTCTCTTCAATTAGTGCGAACTTGGCCTCATGTGGCCTGCCCAGACGTTTTCGAGTATCATTGCTTTGACCCCCAAGAGTGTTGAATGTGATCGGCCTATTTGTAAATGCCCTACTGTCCATAGGATTTACTGTAAAGCTCGCAATCATCATTTGGATGACTGGACTGCCGAAAGACAAATTTTTTGGGACACGGCGATGAGAGGCGCAAGCGCCCTGCAGGCGGCCCTTTTGCGAGGAGTCGGCCACGAGGTCGCTCGGTCTCAAGGCATGTGCTCTGTGGGGGGCCCATTGGGACCTTAAAAAGATTTTTGGCTCTATTGATCCTCATCGCCTGGTTGGATTCGCCATGAATATGGATTGCCCAGTGCACCTCCTATACTTAGGTATCCTCGTCCACGCTGCTCCGAGGGCGTTGGAGGTCGGAGGCTTTGTGTCCGACATCATTGCTCCAGAGTGCAGCATCTTGGCTGGCTGTATGCAGCCTATGAGTTGGGTCAAGATTTACCTCTATGAGTTGCTGGACACTATGCATGTGCATTTCCGTCCTGTGACTCCTAAGGGGGACGTGGATGATTTGACCCATTCCCAGCTAGGAACTCCCGAGGATATCTTGAACCACTTGGCCCCCGCTGCTATGTATCTTACTCATGAGCTACAACAGCTGAATTTTATTATCTCTGATAAATCTACCTTGGTCTGTAGTCATCTCGAACTTGGTAAAGAATTGCAGTTGCGTTTTCAGTCCACTGGTTTACCCATCAAGCTCGCTGAGGCTGCTCGCGATTTGGGGTCATGACTACGGCAGGTAAGCGGCGTTTTACTGCCAAGCTTCGGCTTAGACGCGCTCAGGCCTACAATAAGGTTAAGAAAGTATTGTTTTTGTCTCGGCTGGTTGGGTCCGCCCGCAAATTGTATAAGCCAGGTGTCTTGGCGGCGGGGTCCTGGGGCCATCAGGTCCTGGGCCTGTCTCCTGCGCAAATCCGCTCCTTTCGTGCGCAAGCGGCGACTTGCTCGGGCCGCTGGGCCCCCGGTGCCTGCACTACTACTGTTTTGGCTCTTGTGAGCGCTGCCAAGGATGACCCCCAGTTTAGGCTCCGTTATGAGCAGTTGGTTGCTTTCGCCGACGTCTGGGACGATTTGAATCACCAGATGCGCATGCAAGTGGCTCAGTCATGGGCTACCATCGCACAGGCCTTCGGACGTGCCAAGCACCGCTGGCAACGAGTTCGGGGCCCTATTGCAGCTACTGTGGCAGCCCTGGTGGACCTCAAGATTGCCCCCATCA